ACCTGACGGCCTCATCTTCCCAGACCGAGCCACACTGTATGTGACGGCCATCGAGGACCGGCAGTACAAAGACTACAAGATCCACTGTGAGCGTGCGGGGCGGGGAGCTTTTGGGGTGGGGCGGGCTGGGTGCCTCCTGCTCCCCTCTCCCCACCTCAGGCTCACTCCTCCTTCCCACCCCCTCCCCAGGGTGGGAGAACGTGTACGGCTTTGACATGTCTTGCATCAAAGACGTGGCCATCAAGGAGCCCCTGGTGGATGTGGTGGACCCCAAGCAGCTGGTCACCAACGCCTGCCTCATAAAGGTGAGGGGGCGGCTGTGGCTGGGTGTCCCGCAGAGTATGAATCAAACTGAAGAACTGTCAGCACCTGCAACACACGTGGGAGTGTGGGACATCGGGGCCCAGAGAGCTTGCTTGCCTGAGATCTTGGGAGCCTGAAGGTGGTGCTCCAGGCCTGAAGAAGCCACTTCATTTAAAAAGCTTTGAGCCAGGCTCGGCCGGCTGTTGGTTTCCAGAACAAGGGAGAGAGGTGAGCTGACCCTGTCCCCAGGGGTACACAATCCAGAGGGCACCCCTGCCTGAGGTGGGCAGCTGAGACCCCAGGCAGGGCCTCCTCATGCAGGAAGCCTGGGGCCACGAGTGCGTTTGTACACATGGGGCCCTCCCTGATAAAGAAAACCAGCAGGTATCATTTTTTGAGGTACCCCCTCCCCAAGTGTCAAATCTTGCAGGGATGTCTGAAACCAGCAAAACTGGGCAGAGCAGGGAGTTTGTAAAGGGAGACAAGGAGGACAGTCACCCTGGCTGGGCATGTCTTCATGTCCTTGGTTAGAACCTCCAGTTTTGGTCTGAGAATGGTGCCAGGGAACAGTCAGAGGGTTTTTGGGGGGGGGGTATTTATTTATTTAATGGAGGTACTGGGGATTGAACTAGGACCTCATGCTTGCTAAGCATGTGCTCTACCACTGAGCTACACCCTCCCTCCTGTCCGAGGCTTTTAAACAGGGATTTGACACTGTCTGATGGACACTGCTGTGAAATTGTCACACTGGCCGATTATGTAGAATAAGGGACGTTAGGGCGGAAGGCGGAAGCGCTGCAAGCCTGCTTGAGATGCTACGGAAGCAGAGAGATGCTGGCGCCCAGGCGAAGCAGGGGTGGGAGGGCAGTACAGGGAATAGCGGGGAGGTGAGGGAAGTGGGCGATTCTCCAGGGAGCAGCAGTAGTTCCAGGAAGTGGACCTGTCAGGTTTGGGGTTGAGGTAGGGAGAGAAAGGACAGGCGATCCCGCGGTGGGGGCGGGGGGGTGGGGCAGCCAGGTTATACGGTTGAACGCTGGGCTGGAGGTCAGGGAGTGGCGCTCACTGAGGCTTGTCCCACAGGAGGTGGACATCTACACAGTCAAGGTGGAAGACCTGACCTTCACCTCCCCCTTCTGCCTGCAAGTGAAGCGGAACGACTATGTGCACGCGCTGGTGGCCTATTTCAACATCGAGTTCACCCGCTGTCACAAGAGGACCGGCTTCTCCACCAGTGAGGCGGGGTCTGGGGAACGGGTCGGGGTAGGATGGGGCACGTGACAAGAATGGACAAAGGGAGCCACAGAGACACAGAGGACCCAGGTTCTGACACTTGCTCTGGCCACTAAGCCCTGAGCATGCAGAGCCTCCATCCACCCACTCCATGAAACAGCCCCTCTCCCGGGCTTGATGAAGTGGAAGGGACAAGGCCAGGGTGGGGCCTGGAAGGGACAGGAGGCTGCTGGGCCCAGCTGACCCGCCTCCTCCCTCGTATCCTCGCTCCCCTCCCCCCTCCCCTCCCCCCACCCCGCTCAGGTCCTGAATCCCCGTACACGCACTGGAAGCAGACGGTGTTCTATATGGAGGACTACCTGACAGTGAAGACGGGCGAGGAGATCTTCGGCACCATTGGCATGCGGCCCAATGCCAAGAACAACGTGAGGCTCTGGGGGAGCCGGGGGTGGACTCAAGGGGCTCCTCTGCCTGTTCTGGGGCCCCAGCACTACTCAGCCCGAGGCCTGCTGGCCAGCCTGGGTATGCTCTGCTCTGCTCTGGCCTCGTCCGGTCTGGGCTCCCCAGGGTCTATCTCCGAAACCCAGTTTTATTGAGCACCTACTGGAAACCTAGGGGCCTTGGGGCCCTAGTTGGGTCAAGCTGGACCCCTGCCTTCCTGATGCTCATGTTCTAGATACAGGGCCGTCACATGGTCGGTGCCAGCTGGAGATGGCATCTGTCACGCTGGGAAGAGGGGTGGGCAGGTACTGGAGCAGGGGAGGGCAGGGCCAAAGGGAAAGCTGCTGGGATATCCTTGCTCAGGGATGGGGGCGAGGAGGGGGTGGAAGGCTGTTTATTCCCCTGCTTTTTTCTCCCAAGCACCTGGCAGGACAGAGCTGCCAGCAGCTGAGACACGTGGGGAAGCCCATCTGGGGCAAAGTCACAGCCCCAGAGCAGCCAGCATGGGTTGGTGTGGTCTGGGTCAGAAATGTCGGTGGGGCGGGGTGTGAGTCTGGCTGATGCCCAGGGGAACTTGGACAAGGTCGTACCTACTTTCTAAGGGAGGTAAGAGCCGGTTTAAGGGGAGATTCTCAGCCAGGGGTGATTCTGCTCCCCTGCTTCCCAGGACACTTGTCATTGTCTAGAGACATTTTAGGGCATCACAGCTGAAGAAGGGGTACTCCTGGCATGTAGTGGTTGAGGCCAAGGGAGCTGCAGAACATCTGCAGGGCACAGAATAACCAGAATCCCCCTACAGGGAAGAGTGGTCCAGCCGCACATGTCCGTAGTGGAGAGGCTGAGAGAACCCAAACTAAAGAGACACAGACCCAGAGAGGGAGGAGGAAGCTAGCAGCCAAGCATGCAGTGCAGTGAGGCCTGCAGGCAGAAGTCACTGAGGTCACTTGTGACTTTGCCCCAGCCTTTCCAGAGGGTGCTGGGAGCCATGGGCATAGGAGGGTTGGCACCTTGGAAGCTCTGGAGAAGAGGAAGTGGAGACAGTGGGGTGGGGGCATGGAGGTTTTTGGGAGGAGGAAGTGTGCTGGAGAGAGGTTTGCTTCTTACAAAAGAAGGAAGAAATAACTTGCTGATGGGAATAGTTTTCATGGGAGAACTTTCCTAACACAAGAGACAGAGCACCCGGGGCCTGCCCTCCTCACGGGCTTGGGGAGTTGGTTGGCTGGGTACCAGGTAGGTTTGAGGATGTCATACGGAGCTTCTCCCTGGTAGGCAGGGTTCAAGGCAAATGCTGGGTGTGGGACCAGCAAAGGGCCTCCGTCTTGGGCCTGAGTTAAAAGCAGGGCCCTGCCCAGGCTTGGGGAGGGGGTGTTGACAGCTGGGGAGCCCTTGGCATTTTGCGTGGTCTGGGCTGGCTACCCTCCCGCTGCCCCCTGTCTGCCTGCCCTGCCCCAGGTCCCCCCTCACACCGTCACTCTCCCCACAGCGTGACCTGGACTTCACCATCGACCTGGACTTCAAGGGCCAGCTGTGTGAGCTGTCGTGCTCCACCGACTACCGGATGCGCTGAGGCAGCGCCCGGGTTCTCCCATCCCGGCCAGGCCGGCCCTGCAAGGGCCCAGGGGCTGCGGCATTCTCAGTCGATTTGGGGGCTCCCCCTTCCTCTCCCTCCCTCCCACAGAAGGGGGTTTTAGGGGCCGGGGGCGGGGGGGCACATCGTGACTGTGTTTTTCATAACTTATGTTTTTATATGGTTGCATTTACGCCAATAAATCCTCAGCTGGGATGGCTTAGCTTCCTGGGGCAAAGTGGGGTTGGGTGGGGTTCCACCCGCAGGTGCCGAGATGCCAGCCTGAGCCACTGAAAGCGTTGGGACAGTGCCTGCTGGTGGCAGCTGATTTGTCACCACTTCTGTGTCTGGGTCTCTCGCCACTTTTCCACTGCCTCTTGGGTCCTCTGCTCCCCACAGCCTGCTTACTTTAGTCTGTCCCACCTTGGCCCTTAGCTTATTCCCAGGGCCTTCCCTATGGATTCTTGGGGTCTGTCCCTTCCGCCACCCCCACCATGCCTCCTGAGGCCCTGTTCCCTCTTGTCCCCGCTGGGCAGGGCTCATGCTCCTAGCTGCCCTGCTGGGCTGGGGGAGGGTTGGGCTGTGGGTTCCCAGCATAGCTGGGCCTTTAAAGTTTCCCAGAAAGCCATCTCCCGCCCTCCCCCAGCTCACACATTGTTCCTCTCTGGCTGTTTTTTCCTGTCCAGGACCCTCCAAGGCCAGGCCAGGCCACGGCTGACTGGCAGTGACGACTGCCTGCCCTCTGCAGCTGGGGAAACTGAGTCCTGAGGTGTATGTGTTGGGTAGAATTCTGTGTATGGAGGAAGGTGCTTGCTTCCTCCCACAGCCTTCCTGGAAGCTTGGGGTCGGGGTGTTCCAACCTGCCACATTTTTTTTCATTTTGAATTGGTTCTGCTTTGTTAAGTTCATAAGTATCAGTATTGACTTAACAGCAACTCACTTGACAAGTTGAGAACCTGCAGACCATCCCTTAAGTCTTGGTCAGGAAAGAATTCTGGACAACAAACAGGCTCAGACAGTAATTAAGTTAAATAAATACTTCCGGAGGTTGCTGCCCGACGCACGCTGAGGCCCAGCTAACCTTCACAGCCTCCTGAGGGGCTTCCTGTTCAGCCTCTGCTGCAGACATAGTGTCTACACCTGCCTGCTCTACCCAAGTTCCTGTCTAGAGTTGCTGGTTCCCCACGTTTCTGTCCACACGAGCTGGATCACCCAAGGCATCATCCTTGGCTTTCCTTTCCATGGCCCTGCTACACCTGCTTCAGGACAGCTGGAGCCCTCAGCCAGCCAGCACCTCATACCCATCTACACCTCTTCCTCTTCCAGAATGCTGTCCCTGCCATTTGTGCTAGAGCCCAGACTGCCTTTGGCCACAACTTACATGGCCCAGCCCCCTCTGGAAGCTAGCTGAGATTCTGGGGTCTCATGCTAGTTGGGTCCCTGGCAGGGATGAGGGTGAGGTCGTGTCTACACAGCCCAGTGCTTCCCCGCCCCCGTCCCCTTCCTGGAAGCCCAGCTGTTGCGTCGCCACTTGCAGGTGTCGGTTGCCCCGCCCCTCGTCCCTCCGCCCTTAAAGGGGTCGCGTCTCCCGAGGCCTCCGGGGGCAAAGACAGCGGCGCAGCGTGACCCGCACACCCGTGAGGGCTCCGTGGCCGCCGTGCCGGAGGTGGGCATCCGGGTTCTAATCCTGTCCTGGCGTGGGGTGACTTTTGGCCTCAGTTTTCCCCGCCTGAGAAGTGGGAACGCCCTGATTCCTCGCGCCAAAGCAGGTGCTCAGAGGATTTTTCCAGACCCGGGAAGGGGGCTGGGCCACACCCCGGAGGAGCTGCTTCACTCCCAGGTTTCCCGTCCGCCCTACCTCCACGATGACAGCCCGCATCCTCCTGCTGATGCTCCTCGCTTCCTCCATCCTGGGGGACCCGGACTCCACGGGCAGGTGAGAAACGCCAGCGGCAGCTGGGACAGGGCGGGAAGGAGATTCGCAGGAGCGTGCGCTCTCTGGGCCACGGTTTTCCGCTTCGAGGGAATGGGAAGTTGATTTGGAAACACTCCCTGCCGATCTCGGAGTTCTGGCTTCCCTCACCGAGCCCCATTTCTCGAGTGGATTGTTTAAACCCGATCTTCTCCCACGCTCCATCCCCAGGCGGCCCCAGCACCAAGTCCTGCAGCGGCGCGGGCGTCTCTGTTCCCTGGGCACGTGTCAAATGCACCGCCTGCCAGAGTTGATATACTGGCTTCGCTCTGCCTCCACCAAGGAGGTCTCGGGGAAGGCTGGCCGCAAGCCCCAGGACCCTCACAGCTACGGGCGCCGCCGGCGGCGCGCGGCCAAAGTCCTGCTAAATCTCCAGGATTCCGGTTTGCAACAAGGAGGCCAGCGCAGTGCCCAGCTCGCTAGGTGATGTTGGACATTTCTCTGCACCTCCCCTGGCCTCGGTTTATCCATCTGTGTATTGGGGCCACGATCCCAAGTTTCTTTTCCCCTAACTCCACCTCCTGAGCTCTCTCTAGGCTGCGCTGGACCCCTGGGCACATCGGACCCACCATGGACAAAGAATATTAACGTCCAGAACTAAATAAAGCGGGAGTTACATGTTTCAGTCTCTGTCTATGCCTATTCTGGCCTCCTAGTCTGAGCCCGGCCCCTAATATATTCTCCCTTTTATCCATGCACCTTTTCCCTGACGGAAGTCCCACTCACTGTCTAACTTGAATCCAATCCGCTGTAGCACCTCCACGCCACCTCAATCCATGCAGAAACATCTTCCTTGGGTGGTTTTGGTGGGCTAACCCCACCCCAAATCAGCCCTCCTCCCTCCCCAGGGTGGTAGGGCCGAGATCCACTTTGGCTCTATACCCCACGCGCATGGGCTGCGAGTTCCAAGTTGAGCCTCTTTCCTGGAAGAGAAAGGAGGGTAAAAGGGACAAAGAACGGACTAGGGAGTCGAAGAACGTGGGATTCGGAGAAGAGGAGCTGCGTAGAACGGGGGAGGCCCAAGAGTGGAGAATCAGGCGGGTAGAAGGAGTCTGAGGGATAGGGATCGAATGGAGCGCCGGGATTGGACGCAAGGATTCGAAGGGGGCGGGATAGAACGCAGCGATTTGAAGGAGGCGGGGATAGAAGATTGGAAGGGGGAGGGGATAAAACCCGGGACTTGAATACCCGGCGAGGCACGAGACAGAAATCAGCGTTATTGGATGTTAGATAGCCGGAGGTGTACAGGGGCTCCGGAGGCCCGTAGACCAAGTCGTGGATTCGTAGCACTGGCATTGGACATATGCAAGTGGGAGGCATGGACCCGGCGCTCTAAATCGGGGGTCGCGGAGGTGTACCCGGGCTTAGTCCCCAGGATCCGATCGGCGGACCCCTGACTCAACGTGGTAAGTGCCAGACTGGAGTGGCTCGAGCTCCTGCGGGGGCTGGAGGACTGTATCTTGGGTCGGGCATGCGGGCCTCTCCATCAGTTGTTCTCGACGCTAGCCTCTCCTCTCAGACTCAGCATCCCTGCCCGCAAGGCATGCGCAGTAAGGTGCTCCCTCCCCCATCCCCTCCAGCCCGGGGCCAGGGAGGGGACGCTGTGCCACAGCAGAGCGGACGAATTTATAAAAAGCCCCCACCCAACTGCCCCCTCACTCCCCCGTCACCCTCCGCCTTAGAATGGGAAGCGGAAATGGGATGGACAATGCCAACGTCCGGCAGGTGTTCATTACAAATGGGTTTGGGACTAATGTTTTTCCCATAATGCCGCAACTCACCCTGGACTGGTTTCCCTCCCCGACCCTCGAATTTTGAAAGCCCTTTGAGGCGAGGGGGAGCACTGTCCCCGCACCATGTCCTCAGAATAGCCGCAAAAGGGGTGCGTTCACAGAGGTTCCCAATCAACGTCCCCCGACACTGGAGTCTTCGCTCAGGACCTTAAAGACCTCTCAGGTGGTTAGCGAAGGGTGAGCTGGCGTCCTATACTCCTGGGTCTGCGGGGGGAGGGGCTGGGGGGGGTCTGGGGAATGACCCTCTGTCCTCCTCCCGGGGCTGTAGGCGTGAAATGGCTGAAGCGCACCAAGCCGTGGATTTCCGACCTTCGCTGACTTCGGACGCGGGGAAAGTGGAGCTCAGTGCCCCCGTGTTGCAGGAGATCTACCTCTCCGGACTGCGCTCGTGGAAAAGGCATCTCTCTCGTTTCTGGGTGAGGAGGGCTGTGGTTTGGTTTCCTTCCGGGAATCCAGTTACCTGCTTCCGGGTGCCTGAGGCCCACTTCCGGCATTCTAGTGGTCCCACTTCTGGGTTCCTGTCACCCCATATGGGAATTTTGATGTCTATTTCCAGGACACCTTGAAGCTATTTCCAGGCTCTCTGTGGCTCACTTCTGGGATCCTCAACCTCACCCCCTGAGAATCCCAATTCACCTCTTGTACCCACTTCCTGGACCCCTCTCCCCACACTCCCCACACCCACAAACACAATTTTCACCCCAGTTTTTAGAACTCAGTCCTCTTACAGTGGTGCACCTCTCACCATTCCCTTTCATCTCCAGGCTCTAAACAAGGTGCTCCCCATTCCAGAACTCCATGGCTGGATTAAGATCTTGGGTAGCTCACATCCCCATCCTGAAGGCCCCCCTTTCCCATAGCTCTCACCTACTGTATCTGAGAGCCCCCTCCATACCCATGCTCTGAACCCCCAGTACCCCTCTCCAGCGTGTCTGCCCCAGGGTCCCCGGTTCTAGAACTCTGGCATCATCTAGATGAGGGGTCTCCCTGCGGGTCACACCCTCTGTCTGTGAACAGAAGTCTTGAACACCTGTGGGGTCAGCCAGGACTGAGTTTGAATCCTGGCTCTGCCACTTACTAGCTGTGTGGCCTTGGGTCAGTGCTCCTTTCTGAGCCTAAGTTTCCCCATGTGTAAAGCAGGGGTGATGATGACATTTCCCTCAAAGAACAGTTGTATGGATTAAATGAATGCTTCCATTTAAGCACTGAGTAAAATGCTTAGGTTGGGGCAAGTGCTGAGTCAGTGTTAGCTTTTGATAATAATATTGTTCTTCATTCACCAAATATCTTTGGAGCATTTGTTCAGGGTCTGGCATTGTTTGGGGCCACTGGGGACATGGCAGGGCGCAAAATGGACAGAGTCCTTCCCTCGTGGAGCTCTTGATCTCATTGGAGGAGAAGGCAATAAAAGAGAGAAATAAGCAAAACGCAGAGTATGTTACATGGTGACGTGCTATGGAGGACAATAAAGCGGGTGAGGAAGACGGAGCCTGGAGGGGCTGTAATAAAACAGTGGGGCAGTCCAGGAGTGTCTCTGGAAGCTGGGACACTCGAGCAGGCTGATTCACACTTCTAGGGCCACATTGGTTGTTAAAATCTTTGTTAAAATTGAGGCATTATTCGTTCCAGTGGGTAAACAGCCACTACCTCAGACCCCCAATAATTCCCCTTCAGTCCTACCCCTGGAACCCCTACCCTGGGCCTCAGTCCAATCCAGCAACCAAAGTGTTAACAAGTGTCCATTAGCCACTGGTTAAATGGTTAAATACATAAACACACACACATATATGCACAAATGTATATATTTAAACAGAGAGAATTATATACATAATAATATGCAGATTTTTCAAGTGTACAGTTCTTGAGTTTTGTGATGATTTTGTAACCTGTGTGATACCTGCATAACCAGCTCCCCATCAAGATCGTATTGCTATCATTCTAACGCACCCTTTTCCAGCCAGCGCCTCCCCCACCTCACCCTCACTGCAAGGCAACCGCTGTTCTGATTTCTACACGTAGAGATGGATTTTGACTGGTGTGGCTTTGTCAGATATTTTGACTGTCACGTCTGTATTCGAGTCACCTCTGAAGCTCTTTCCTAAGTCAGGTGTCCCCTAAGCCAATGGACCACGGTAGACCATCACTTTAGTATTACTTGATCATTGTGATAATAATAATCCTTTCTTTTCTATCATGTTGCTGCCTCTCTCCCTGATGATCCCTCGGTTTCTTCACTTATAAAATGGGAATCTTGACAGTCCTTGCCTCGAAGGATTGTTGTAAGCATTGATTGTCTTAGTAGAAGGCCGTATTCACAGAAATTTCTACTCTAGCATTGCCATTCTCATCTTGTGTGCCATATTGGTGCTGTGTGACCTCTGGCATGTTAGTAATGTCTCTGGACCGCTGTTTCCTGATTTCTAAAATCCTATTAGGTAGTAGTGTGTCCCTGGCTCTATACTAAGCAAGCCCTTTAAATCTGTTGTTCACCTCTTTCTCATTAGAATCTTCTGTGGTGGTCCCATTTTACAGATGAAGAAACAGAAGCCCAGAGAGGTGCTTTCACTTTCCCCAGGTCACACAGCTGCTAAGATGTAGAAGTAGCGACAGAGCTAAAATTAGCAGTCTGGTTCTGGAGCCCATGCTGCTGCCCCACGATCCTGGGCTGCTTCTCTAGAATGTGGTCTCAATACCTACACCTTACAGCTGTTGCAAATTACATGCAGGGGATCATTGGGCCAAGTGTGTGGCACAGGGTCTAGCACTTAGTGGGTGGTTCATTGGAAAGGAGGTTAGAGCATCCCCTGAAATGGCTTCCAAATGAATATGAAATTCCAAGATACAGCAGACCCCGGAGTAGGGTACCTTGCAGTGTCTCCTGCTGCATTACGGTCACAAGGCATCTGCACGGTTTGTGATTGACAGTGCATCCTGGCGCCAGTGGACCTGAGCAACCTGCCTTTTACTATCACCATTAGCACTCACTTCATTCTGGTCTGACCTCTCTGGAGGCAGGACCTAGATTGGTCTGTTCCTCACTGTGTCTCAGCCACCCAGTTCAGTGCTGAATCAGTAGTGAAGAATGGCGATTAGTAGAGGTGATAATCAATTGAATAGGAGCTCTTTCCTCTCCACAGAACGACTTTCTCACAGGTGTGTTCCCTGCGAGCCCCCTCAGCTGGCTCTTCCTCTTCAGTGCAATCCAGCTTGCCTGGTTCCTCCAACTGGATCCTTCCCTAGGACTGATGGAGAAAATCAAAGAGTCACTGCCAGACTGGTGAGGTCCCCCACTTCAGCCCAGTGACCTCCTAATCCCCTTCTCTCCAGCCAGTAAGTTTATCTATCAGAATGACATGCCTGCTAAAGAAAAGTAGCTTCTGAGATCTACTTGGGGTCAGATTAATAAAAGTATGGCATCAACAAAAAGGAGGTGATTTTCCATCTTCTCCCTGCATACTTTCCATCCTGGCTGCTTCTTGCTAGAGGGATGGTGGCAAACTAGACAATGATCAGGTATGGTTATAGATACTAACAGAAAATATGAGCTCTGCTAGTCTATAGTTGGCCACAGACCTCACCATTCCTGGTGTCAGGGTCTTCACCTGTAATGTGGGAGTAATAATTGCTTCTGAGAGTGGGTGGATGGAGTGGTTGAATTGTTATAACTGTTGGGAAAGTTTTGGAAACCAGATGCGGGTGAAGTGGCAAGTTCTAACTCTTGGATTAGTCTTTCTGGTGAAGAAGGTTCAGATTTAGTGCAGACAGCCTCAAAGGGTAGATCTGGGATCAGAAGTAGAAATTTCCAGGAAGGCTAGATTTACCTAGTCTACAG